CTCTGTCCTCCTCATGACATCACCACCTCCAAGGCTACATCTGTAGGCAATATCACTCGTCTCAAATATATTTTACTATTTCTGTCTTTGCCTCTGATTTTTTTTTTTTTTTTGGACAGCTACACTACCTTCATTTCTCAGTTCACTAAGCATTCTGACCTATTTCTTACCAGATACCAAGCAGATTGGAGTTGTTTACTCAACATAAAGGAAAGGTTGATTTCAATAATGAGAGAGAATCTAGGTGTTCATGGAATGTTGTATGAAATTCAGAAAAATAGAAATAATAGAAACAGCAGCACCACACGTAGAATAAAAGCCTGTACTTTGAAAGAAACGGACCTAATTTCAAATGTAGACTCTACTCATCACTAATATGGTGACCTGGGCAAAACCTTCAGACCTCTGATTTTCAGAGGTCTTCTCTAAAATAAAAATAATCCCATCTCACAGGGTAGTTGTAAGGTTGGAGAAGATTGCATACATGAAGTTCTTAGCATAACACCTGTCATGTAGTAAGCCCCTGATAAATTATCATTAATGTCACTCAGATTGAGTAGAGCATTTTGCCAAATTAGTACTTGCATGGCTTACTAATGGCATGGCATAACTGGGAGCTGGTGAGGGCAGCAAAATAAAGGGGGCGTAGTTTTTTTTCTGGTGACTAAAAAGCTTCTTGATATTTGGTTGGTTGGAATAGTCTTTGTCTTTCATGATGTTTTGTGAATAATGAAAACAGAGACAGAGCAAGTAAACAGCTGACCTCCCATCCACCTGCTTTTGGACATTTATTGAGCAATCATCAAGTTCCAGGCTGGCTATCAGTTACCTTTGTGTTCAGGGTTGAGAGGAAAGTGCACGCAGTTAGTTCTGTCTCCAGCATATATTCCCAATCTGTCTGCTGCCTCCTTCCTTTTTACTGCACTCCTATCCTGGAGCCCTTGAGAGCAGGCATCAGGACTACTGCCTCCCCTAACCAGTCTCCCTGCTCCCACTCTTGCTCAACCATCCATCCATTACCTACCAACAGTCAGAAAAATTTGCGAGAGCTATAAATCAGATTCAGTCAGTCCTAGTTAAAAATGCTTTGGCAAAATATTTCCACTTTTCACCATGGCCTGTGAAGACCGTGTGTGACTGGACCCCGAGCGCAGTTTCACATCTGATCACATGCCCCATGCTTTCGGCTCCCATCAAATCAGCCTTCCTGAGCCCCTCCCCCCAGGGGTCAGGTTGCACCCACGTAGCCTGCCGGTCCCTCAGCCTAGAAGGTTCAGGCACCTTGTCTAGGACTGTGGCTGCTTCTCATCCCATAGATCGAGTTTCAGTGCTGCCACCTAGGAGAGGCCCTCCTGGACTACCCCTCTCTCATACGTTCCCATCATCTCCACACGGCCCCCTGCCTACTTTCTATCAGAAGCACTAATCACAATCTATAATTGCCCCTCTTATTTTTGTCATTTGTAAGTTCCAGGCAAGAGACACACTGCTTGTCACATTCTCTATTGTATTCTCTGCAGGCGGGGGGGGGGGGAGGGGGGTATGGCACAAAACAAGACCTCCATAAGTACTTGTTGAATGAATGAAGGATCCAAACATGGGCAAAAACAAAAGAAAAAAAATGTCATGTCTTCTTATGGTAAGGGTTAATGGAAATGTAACTTCGTGATCATCACAAGGGCACGTTGCTTAGTATACATACTTGGTATCGGACAACAGCAAGAAATCGCTGAATAAGAAGAGGTGCCGCTTCTGCCTCCTCCAGCCTCTCTTGAGCTCGACGGGGCCGTGGATAAGCAGGGTATGGGCGGCACCCTCAGATGATGTAGTGCTTTTGCTGCAGGCATCCACCTCAACAGAAGAGCTCTTCCTGCAACCCACCAAACACCACGGAGCAGCTAGTTACTAGTCAAATACACAATAGAGTTTTATGCTAAATGTCAAGGTTCGCATAACACTAAAATTTAGTCTCAACCCCGAAAGCAGAGCTCCAGAGCTCACATTCAGGGATCGCTGAGTTATAGAAAGCTATTGAAAGAGATGAGGTCGGACGTCTGGGTGGCTCAGTCGGTTAAGCGTCTGCCTTCAGCTCAGGTCATGATCCCAGGGTCCTGGGATCGAGTCCCACGTCGGGCTCCCTGCTCAGCGGGGAGCCTGCTTCTCCCTCTGCCTCTACCCCTCCACCCTGTTTGAGCTCTCTCTCTCTCTCTCTCACATGCTCTCTTTCTCAAATAAATAAACAAAATATTTTAAAAAAGGAGAGAGAGATGAGGTCACTTGGTGAATTGATGCAGATGGAGAACAGTTTCAAGGACAAAGCCCTTGGGCATGCCAACACTTAGACGTGGGGTGGAGAAAGCAGCAAAGCTAATCATGAGCTTTTAGGAAGGGGAGGATCAAGAGGTAGAGTGTATTACAAGAAGGCAAACAAACAACAACAACAAACAGGACAATTGGTGGCCTAATATAAAACAAAATGATACGGTGTGTGTGTGAAGAATTAATTACAATTTGCTTTCATGTTAAGATAAAAATGAAGACAACTGAAGATTCTGGAAATTTACTTATCTAAATCTATCTAAATCTTATCTAAATCAATATTCAAACTTGGGGGAAAAATTCTCAAAGATCGGCAAAAATACTGGAAACATCAAAAAGTTTCTAAACACAAGAGTTTAGCTATTACTTGGCTGAGCTCTGACTGAGCTCTGATAGGACTTTCGGTCATCATAGGTAAAACAGCTAAATTGAACAGAATGCAAAAGTTCTTTCATAAATAGGACAGATATTTTCATAGACCTGGGAAAATTCTCTCTCGTGGAGCCAAGAAAGTGTCTCCTCCGAGAATGTAAACCCTGCTCTCTTCAGCTCAGCAGCACTGAATCTTACGAACCTGAGTAGCCTTTCACGAAGCTGGTGCTGAAGTTACTCATTAGTGTACACGTATTAGAAGAAACAAAAGAGAACAACACTTCCTGTTATTGTCAGTCTGTTTTGAGGCTCAAAAATAGTATATCAAAAGACTACCTTCTGCAGTGAAGCCTTGAATGACCACCTATAAGTTCTGCATACTTTCTGAATGATGTGAACATCCTTTTGTCTTCAGTTCTCAGGACTGAAAATCAAGTGAGTCTACAGCACTAGGCAGAGTACTGTAAAATGCTTGAAGCCTGAGGATTCCATAGTAACCTGAGATCACTACCATTATGATGTCACGGATCTAAGGCTCATGTCGTAACTGCCAAACTGACATACTTGTTTCCCTGATTTGGCCTGCACGTTTTGATTTTTTAAAAGTAATCTTTTTTATTTTGAGATAACTATAGATTCATATGTATCTGTAAGAAATAATACAGAGAGATTACATCAATTTTCTACAGATAGAGACTTCCAGACACTTCCATCACCACAAGGATCCTTCCTATTACCCTTTTACAACCACACAAACTTCCTTCCACCTCCCCCACCTCTTTAATCCCTGGCAATCACGAATCTGTTCTCCATGTGTATAATTTTGACATTTCAAGAATGGTATACAGAGAGGATCATATAGTATGTAACATTTTTGTGATTTGCTTTTTTCCACTGAACATAACGGGAGAGTCATCCGGATTGCCACAGGTGCTCACAGTTCATTTCTCTGTGTCTCTTAGTAGTATGCCAGGATATGGCTTTATCACAGTTTGCTTCACCACCTGCTGAAGGAATTCTGGATTGTCTGCAGGCTTGGGCGTTCACTAATAAAGCTGCTGTAAACATCTGTGTACAGGTTTTTGTGTCAGCGTCGGTCTTCTCTCCTCTGGGCTAAATGCCCAGGAGTCCAATTGCCAGGTCCTAGGGTAGCTGCTCTGTTTTGTTTTTTAAGACACTAACTGTTTTCCAGAATGGCTCTGCCATTTCACATTCTCACCAGTACTGTGGGAGTGATTCAGTTTCCCCACATCCACACTAGCATCCACACTGGCAACTAGTGTTGTCATTTTTTATTTTAGCTGTTCTGATAGCTGTGTCATGATATCTCACTGTGGATTTAACGTGCATTTCCCCAATGGTTAGTGATGCTAAACATCTATTTGCCGTGCGGACATCTTCTTCAGTGTGACGGAACCTACAGTAGTCTGTTAAAAACATTTTCCGTGGAGACGGTGTTCCCTGTCCACTAGAAAACTGACCATTTTACAGATGAGGAGGTGCTTCACGGACAGGTTAGACGCTTTCAATTCAAGCAGCTGCGACATAACATGAAGGATTCAAATCCAGCTGACTCAGGAGGTCACTCAGCTTCCTGTGAGGGCCCCCCACTCTTCTCACACGGACAGTGTCTTTCCTTTGACAACAGTGGAGGACTGAAATTTGATCCTACTAACAAAGTTCATGGTTTCCCTTATAGGCACCTCGAACAGGTATGTGAATCCCTCTCTTTTATTCCCCACTCGACTCTATGGGCCTCAAGGAAAGAGTCTATGTCTGATTTATCATTTTAATTCTCACAAACATTGGCACATTGGAGGAATTCAAAAATTCTCTTGAATGGGTGAATGAAATAGTTTTCTGGCATGGATGGATGGGGAAAAGGCATGACCTAAACTAGTCTCTCTCTCATTTACTTCATTCTTTCAACAGATAGTGTTTGAACCTGTACTAGGAGAAAGACACTTGCTAGGTCTGGGCAACAGAGAGCCAGGCCCAACTCTCACAAAACCAGGATTTAAATGGGGGGGTGGGGGGCAGAAATTAAACAAAGAGTGTCATCAATAACTGTGTAACACCAGACTCTGGAAAGTACTGCAGAGAAAAATTAAAGAGTGAGATGAGAAATTAAAAGAGGGACCTGACACCTGATTTCAGTTGTGAAGAAGTCTCCTTTGAAGAGCTCCTTTAAAATGAGCTTTAAAGAATAATTAGGGATTGATTAGAGAGAGGAGAGAAAAGAGGAAGGCAGAGGGAAGGGACAAGAAGAGAAGTGTATTGGAAGGGAAGATACATTTTTCAGCTGAAGGGACAGAATGCGAATATGTGACGTTTCAGAGACATGGAAGAGTTTGCTAGTTTGGAGATACAGGCAGAAGGTACAGGAGCATGAAATATGCCTGAAAAAGTAGGTAGAGGCAAGAGCACAAGTCCTGGTAGACCTTTTAGACTTTACTGAGGCCTCTCATCTTAAAACCAAACTAGCACAGAAGTGACATGTAGATAGTGGCCTTCAGACTTTTCACCACTTTTATTTTTTTTAAGATTTTATTTATTTATTTGGGTGGGGGGTAGCAGAGGGAGAGGGACAAGCACAAACAGTGCTGAGAGTGGAGCCTGACCTGGGGCTCGATCTCACAGCCCTGAGATCATGACCTGAACCAAGATCACGACCTGAGCCGAGATCAAGAGTCAGAAGCTTAACCGACTGAGCCACCCAGATGCCCCTTCTCACCACTTTTAAAGGGACAAGTGCTAGTCTGGACATGTTTGATTGTATTAGAACCATGGAGGCTCATGGGGCAACACTTTCTGGCCTCCCATCAAGCATCTGTCAACAGTTATTTAATGTAAAAATGTAGGCAAACTTATCTCTGCACCTTCCCCAACTCCCAGATTATGTCCCATTTCTCTGCCTCTCCCTTCAGAGAGGTTAGAGATTTAGAGACCAGGAAAACTCTCCTTCTAGAATCTAGTATCTGCTTATCAATACTGATATGCATCAGTCTCACTTGGGGGAGTTTTCAGGCACTCCCTCTCTAACCCCCAGAGGTTCTGATTCATCAGATCCAGAAAACCTGTATTTTGAAAAATTTTTTGAGTGATTCTTGTATGTAACCAGGATTGTGAGTTACTAATCTTCAGGAATTAATTGAGAAAGATGTAGTGTTCTGATTCTATCTTCCCCTTGTAGTAAAGCCAAGGAGAGAAAAGTTTTCTTAGAAAGATAAAGGGAGCTTTCCTTAGTCATGTAATAGTTACATTTACAGTAATAGCTAAAGCTTAATTTCTTCTAAAATACCATTGCTACTTATTTTAATTTGATGAATGAGCTCTAAATAGAATCACAGTGATAGGGTTTGTTTTCATCTATTTCATTGAACACTTAACTTTTCACCCTAAATATCAAATAGAAGAGATAGTATAAGGTAATCCTATGCCCATAATACCAATATTTTTAAGCATGTTGCAAAGACAAGACTATTTAAAAATTTTTTTTGAAGATTTTATTTATTTGAGAGAGAAGTGAGAGAGAGAGAGAGAGCATGAGCAGGGAGGGGGGTCGGGGGGAGGGGGAGAAGCAGACTCCCCTATGAGCAGGGAGCCCGATGTGGGGCTTGATCCCAGGACCCTGAGATCACGACCTGAGCCGAAGGCAGATGCTTAACTGAATGAGCCATGCAGGTGCCCCTAGACTATTTTCTTAATTCAATTTCTTTCTTTTAATTTTTTTATATTTATTTTATTTCAATTCCAGTATAATTAAGTGTTATTATTAGTTTCAGGTGTACAATATAGTGATTCGATAATTCTATACATTACTCAGTGCTCATCATGATAAGTGTACTCTTAATCCCCATCACCTACCATCCATCCCCCCACCCACCTTCCTTCTGATAACTATCAGTTTGTTTTCTATAGCTAAGAGTCTGTCTTTTGGTTTATCTCTTTTTTATTTGTTTTGTTTCTTAAATTCCACATATAAGTGAAATCATATGGTATTTGTCTTTCTCTGACTTATTTCACTTAGCATTATACCCTCTAAATCCATCCATGTTGTTGCAAATGGCAAGATTTCATCTTTTTTATTGCTGAATAATATTCCATTGTGTGTGTGTGTGTGTGTGTGTGTATATCACATCTTCTTCATCCATTCATCTATCAGTGGACACTTGGGCTTGCTCCATAATTTGGCTACTGTAAATAATGTTGCAACAAACATAGGGGTGCATATATGTTTTTAAATTAGTGTTTTTCTCTTTTTAAAGATTTTATTTATTTATTTATTTATTTATTTATTTATTTATTTATTTATTTGAGAATGAGAGAGGGTGAGCAGACAGGTGGGGGCAGGGGCAGAGGAAGAGGGAGAGGGAATCTCAAGCAGACTCTGTGCTAAGCACAGAACCCAATGTGGGGTTCGACCCCATGATCCCGAGATTATGACCTGAGCTGAAACCATGTGCTAGATGCTTAACCGACTGAGCCACCCAGACACCCCACAAATTAGTGTTTTTCTATTTGGGGGGTAAATACTCAGTTATGGATCATATAGCAACTCTATCTTTAATTTTTTGAGGAACCTCCATATTGTTTTCCACAGGGGGCTGCACCAGTTGGCGTTCCCACCAACAGTGCACAAGAGTTCCTTTTTCTCCACAATCTTGCCAAAACCTGTTGTTTCTTGTGTTGTTGATTTTAGCCATTTGGACAGGTATGAGGTGATAGCTCATTGTGGTTTTCATTTGCATTTCCCTGATGATGAGTGATTTGAGCATCTTTTCGTGTCTGTTGGCCATCTGTGTCTTCTTTGGAGAAATGTCTGTTGATGTCTTCCGCCTATTTTTAAATTGGATCATTTGGTTTTTTGGTGTTGAGTTGTATAAGCTCTTTATATATTTTGGATACTAACCTTTTATATCATTTGCAAATATCTTCTCCCATTCAGTAACTTGTCCTCTCGTTTTATTGGTGGTTTTCTTTGCTGTGCAGAAGCCTTTTATTTTGATGTAGTCCCAATAATTTATTTTTGCTTTTGTCTCCCTTGCCTCAGGGGACATATCTAGGAAGATGTTGTTACAACCAGTGTCTGAGAAATTACTATCTGTGCTCTCTGCTCGGACTTTTTTGGTTTCAAGTCTTACATTTAGGTCTTTAATCCATTTTGAATTTTATTTTTGTGTATAGTGTAAGAGAGTGGTCCAGTTTCATTCTTTTGGATGTACCTGTCCAGTTTTCCCAACACCAGTTTTTGAAGAGACTATCTTTTCCCCATTGTATATTCTTGCCTCCCTGCTTGTACATAAAATCATGGGTTTATTTCTGGATTCTCTATTCTGTTCCGTTGATCTATTGTCTACTTTTCCGTCAGTACCATACTGTTTGGATTATTACAGCTTTGTGATATACCCTGAAATCTGGGATTGTGATACCTCCAATTTTGTTCTTTCTCAAGATTGCTTTGGCTATTTGGGGCCTTTTGTGGTACCATACATATTTTAGAATTATTTGTTCTAGTTCTGTGAAAAATGCTATTGGTGTTTTGATAGGGATTGCATTAAATCTGTAGATCATTTTGGGTATGGGACATTTTAAAATATTTGTTCTTCCATCAATAAGCATAGAATATTTTTCCATTCATGTTGTCTTCAATTTTTTTTCATCAGTGTTTTATAGTTTTCAGAATATAGGTCTTTCACTTCCTTGTTTAAGTTTATTCCTAGGTAGTTTATTATTTTTGGTATAATTGTGAATGGGACTGTTTCTTAATTTCTCTTTCTGCTTCTTCATTATTAGTGTATAAAAATGCAGATTTCTGTATATTGATTTTGTATCCTGTGATTTTCCTGAACGCATTTACCAGTTCTAGTCTATTTTTGGTGGAGTCTGGAGGGTTTTCTGTATATATAGTATCATGTCACTTGCAAATAGTCAAAGTTTTACTTCTTCCTTACCCATTTGGATGCCACTTATTTCTTTTTCTTGTCTTATTCCCGGGGCTAGGACTTCCAGTACTATGTTGAATACAAGTAGTGAGAATGAACACCCCTGTCTTGCTCTTGATCTTGGGGAAAAGCTTTTAGTTTTTCACCATTGAGTATGATTTTAGCTGTAGGTTTTTATATGGTCTTTATTATATTGAAATATGTTCCCTCTAAATCTACTTCGTTGAGAGTTTTTATCATGAATGGATATTGTACTTTGTCAAATGCTTTTCTGCATCTATTAAAATAATCATGTGCTTTTTATCCTTTCTCTTGTTGACGTGATGTATGATGTTAATTGATTTGTGAATATTGAATCACGTTTGCATCCTAGGAATAAATCCCACTTGATCACGGTGAATGATTTTTTAATGTATTGTTGGATTGGGTTGGCTATTATTTTGTTGAGGATTTTTGCATCTGTGTTCATCAGAGATATTGGCCTGTAGTTCTCTCTTTTTTAAAAAAGATTTTATTTATTTGCGATAGAGCAAGAGTGAGAGAGCGAGAGCGCACAAGCAGGGGGAGTGGGAGAGGGAGAAGCAGGCTCCCCGCTGAGCCAGGAGCCCGATGGGGGACTCGATCCCAGGACTCTGGGATCATGACCAGAGCTGAAGGCAGACGCTTAACTGACTGAGCCACCCAGCCGTCCTCTTTTTTTTTTTTTTTTAAGTGTCTTTACCTGGTTTTGGTATCAGGGTAATGCTGGCCTCACAGAATGAATTTGTGATTTTGGAAGCTTTCCTTCTAACTCTTCTTTAAATGTTCGGTAAAATCCACCTGTGAAGCCATCTGCTCCTGGACTTTTGTTTGTTGGGAGTTTTCTGATTACTGATTCAATTTCATTCCTGGTAATCAGTCTGTTCAAGTTTTCTATTTCTTCCTGATTCAGTTTTGGGAGGTTATATGTTTCTAGGGATTTATCATTTCTTCTAGGTTGTTCAATTTGTTTGCATACAATTTTTCATAATATTCTTATAATCCTTCATATTTCTGTGGTGTTGGTTGTCCTTTCTCCTCTTTCCCTTCTGATTTTGTTTATTTGAGTCCTCTCCCTCTCTCTCTCTCTCCTTTATGAGTCTGGCTAAAGGTTTATCAATTTGGTTGATCTTTTCAAAGAACCAGCTCCTGGTTTCATTGATCTGCTCTATTGGGTTTTTTTTAGTTTCTATTTCATTTATTTCTGCTCTAATCTTTATTATTTTCTTCCTTCTTTAGGTTTTGGGTTTTGTTTGTTCTTTTTCTAGCTTCTGTAGGTGTAAGTTTAGGTTGTTTCTTCAATGTTTTTCTTGCTTCTTGAGGTAGGCCTTGATTGCTATAAACTTGCCTCATAGAACAGCTTTTGCTGGATTCCAAAGTTTTTGGACCATGGTGTTTTCATTTTCATTTGTCTCCATGTATTTTTTAGTTTCTTCTCTGATTTATTCCCTTACAATTTTAAATCTTTGATTAAATGTGTATATTGGAAAACATTATGTAGTGTCAAGAGCATGAGCTCTGGAATCCAATTACCTAGTTTTAATCCTTCCTTATGATTTACTACCTACATGACACTGGGTAAACCAGTTATACTTCTAAAGCCTCAATGTCCTTATCTGCAAAATCAAAATGATGATAAAAGCATCTGCTTCATAGGGTTGTTGTGAGAATTAAATGAGATCATACTGCAGAAATGTTAGTATGGTACCTAACAGATTAATCCTTCAAATAATTTAGTTATGCTTACAGGAGACAATGAGACTTTTTATTCAAAAATAGCAACAATATAATGGGTATTCCCCCCATGAATAAAGACAGGGAGAGAGAACAGGTAGTAATGCCAATTGAGTAACTACAAATTGCCAAGTTCTTTGCCAGGCAGTTTATGGACATCATCTCATTTGCTTGCAGCAGATTTGTGAGGTAAGAATCATTATTTCCATTTTATAGATGGAGAAACTGAAGCTCAATAAAGTGAAGTAACTGAGAACCACATACCAAATAATCTGCAGAGTCAAGTTTGTCTAATTTCAAAGTCATATAGTTTTTCCTCACCTAAACAATGTTTTCCTTCTGGAGGAGGAAAGAAAATATATTTTAAGCCACATCCCATTTAGGTCGGCTCCCAAATTATTTAACTGACACATATGTGAGTGTTTTCATCAGCTGTCAGTGTTTGCCTATGGTGCCCCTATCCCACTCAGTCTCTCCTCCCTGAAATGGCTGGTTGAGGAACACTTAGCCACTGCTGGTACCATGTCCTAACTCTCAGTCAGGAAGTTTGCATCAGCTCCCAAGATGGACAGGAGACTCCTGTTATTTTACGGAGCCAGATCTGAGGTTTTAGACAGGCAGGGAGTAGGAGGCGTCAGGACTGGGAAAGTCGAATGATTCCCCTCCTGATGTCTAGTGGTTCACATCGCTAAGATAGATACCAGGCTGTGAATTGTGCCTCCTCAGCTGATCCCCATTCTGGATCAGTATCCCTATGAGTAATTTCTCTCCTGATTCTGGCACTCTGGACTTTCTACTACCACTGATGGATTTTTATCTCTATAGAGGGGAAAAAAGGGATGCCCAGGCCTTGGCTGCGAGTGCTCACTCCACTACCCTTTGCTGCCCTCTACTGACCATACCTGGAAAGTACATTTAACCTTTCAGGCCCTTGGCCCAAATAGATACTACAGTGAGTGAAACCAGGCACACAAAATTTGAGGTGCACCAAAAAACTAAGTAAATAAGATATGATATTTTAATTTTAATATAGTATTTTAAAAAGTCAATTTGCAAAAAATACATGGTGAACAAAATATCTAAATGTACCCTAAAACAGTACTACTAGCTTATATGTACACAGAACCTGCCATCCATCTTTTCATTCAAGAAAGAGGTCTAATACTGCAGTGGCAAATCATGCTATCAATACTGGTCAACCTTTTTCATCACTCACATATATGGGGGAAAAAAACCCAGAAAATTTAGAGTAAGTGAAAAACAAAAATGAGAAGGTCTAAGTGGAACAGATACTGTTAACAGTCGAATCCTAAAGAAAACAAGTAAGAGAACAGGGGGAAAAAAAAAAAAACTGATTAAGAAAACAAAACCAACTAACATCTTCAGAGTCAAGAAGCCAAAGAATGGGTGGCTATAAAATAAGAACAAAGAAAAAGATTTTTTGGAAATTAAAGATATCATCGACCAAATTAAATGTACTAGAAAGTCTTGAAGATTGAGTTTAAGGAATCCCACTTGACTTTGACACTTGGAATATTCATCTTTCAGTTTTAATGACATAAGATTACCCTTTCTTTCTCAGTAAGTAGAGCTATTTGGTCCTTCGGTAAGGAGTAATTTAATCATTGGAATAATGGAAATGCTATTTTAATTTGTAGAATCAACGTATAAACAAAACTTGGAAGACAACAACTGTAAAAGAATCTGACTAATACTAACATTGATAATATAAAAAAAATGGAAGTCTGAATATTAAGGCAGCAGAGACGTGGAAGAGATAATGTCACAGATCTTTTTCACCTATTTATTTATATAGCAAAAAATCAAGATACACTGTCTAAAATTGATGTAACAAAATACAGACGTAAGCATACTCTTTAAAATGGTAATAACCAGAAAAACCAAAACAATGTAACTGGAAAACGTAGAAGCAGATGGATAAAAGAAATAAGTTTCTCATCTTTCAATAGATGCTATTTCAAGTTCATAAAACAAGAAATGAAAGTATTAACATAGGTTTCAGAGGTATTGTGATAACCACCAGCAGAACAGAAAATATTTAAAAATAGGGAGCTGGAAATGAGGAGTTGGGGAACAGGTTCAGGCAGGGAATTTACTTTTCATTTGGTACCACTCTGTACTGCTTGTTTTTTAAAATGTGTGTATGTATTAATTTTACACTATAAAAGTTAAAAAAAAAAAAAACAAACCCTCTTTGCAGCTGCAGCTCTTGGCATCATTTCCTTCCCAGCTGCAGTCTCTTTCCTTACACCAGTGGTCAGATCCTACTGAGACAGGAAGGAGTAAGAGAGAAAAGAAAAGTTTCTGCCCTTAATTTAAGTGTCTTGGAATCTTTTTTATTTGTTTGTGCTTGTGTTCTGTCTTTTCAAATGGCGCCACTCTTTGGAATACTAACTTTTGACTACTTTCATCTGTGATGTCTAGAATCTTCTTAAAGTCTTGCTAAACTTTGGTATCCTTCTGTTCCTTCTTGACAAAGAGTAATCCTGACTCATTGGCTCTTACTGCGACCGTGGTATTTTATTTTCTTAGAATCTTGGTTCTGGTCAACTACTTCCTAGCCAGGTCCAACTCAGCCTGCCTAGGTAGGAATGAAAAGTCTATGGAAGAGTGATGACAATTACTACTATCAGAACAAGTAAGACGTGGCATATTAGTAAGTTAAACATAGTGCTAAGGGAGCAGGGTGACGTTCATTACCCCATTCCTCATGCACTGACAGAGGAGAATGTGTTTCACTCCACTGTTCTGGAGAGAACACACTCGGAGGAATTTGGGAGTAGACGTTTTCTCTAGACCACAATCTTGCACCAAAGTGCCAAAAGCATGGGACACGAGACACAAGGAAATGAAACCAGAATATCTAAATTTTCGAAGAAGGCAATAATGTCTCAGGGTCACTCTCTAAATTTGAGAAACAAGGCAGAGAATCATAGGGGAAGGGAGAGAAAAATGAAACAAGATGAAACCAGACGGAGACAAACCATAAGAGACTCTCAATCTCAGGAAATAAACTGAGGGTTGCTGGAGTGGTGGGGGGGTGGGAGGGATGACGTGGCTGGGTGATAGACATTGGGGCGGGTATGTGCTACGGTGAGCGCTGTGAATTGTGGAAGACTGATGAATCACAGACCTGTACCCCTGAAACAAACAATACGTTATATGTTAATAGAAAGAAAAAAAAAAAAAGAAAAGGTCACTCCCTGAAAGTAGGCAATATATATGGGAGATAACTACACACGAGTCACCAAAACAAAACAGTAACAACAACAAACACAAAGAAATACACACACATATTAAACATAAACCGTTGTGGAAGCACAACAGTTGCTGGGCGCTGTGTGCTCAGTGAATACGGACTCACAGGCTGTGGACTCAAGGCGGGTGCCTCTGGCTGGCTTGCCGTGGGACTGAAACCCAACAGTTCCCAGGTCCTCGCTGTCTCCAATAGAGGGAGCACTAAGTTACCTGCCACGCCATTACCTATTCACTTAATTGGGGGACCACAGTTTTGTTTGTGACAACTTCTATAGGGGAGATGCAGTTTCTTTGGTGACTGCTGACCCCTTGGAGACTAGAACTAATTCGAGGTTCGAACCAACTTTGAAGAGGCTGAAGAAGCTACGCCCATTCCTGTGAAATCCCCGGACACCGCTACAGCTACCGGAACCCAGGCTCTGCGTAAAAGCCTCTGGCTGACACTGAGCCAACTGTATACGATTGAGAATGAAGGCACTTGGACTTTAATTTCTATGGGCTTTTGTGAGGGGATTTAGTTTGGGGGGAAGTGGAGTCATAAACAAAGAGTGTCCTAGTGTTCAAATCTGGGACATTTTCATGTGGATACAGTCTCTGTGCTCATTTCATCAAAGGCTGGTGAGCCCCTTTGGACAACATGACTGGACCTAATTAGTGATACGAAATGGAACGGCGAGTTAACTTTCAGCTTAGGGCGCTGCATGGCGTTCTACCGGACTCATGGGGCCGGAGTCTTTTGTGGGCAGAAAGCAAGATGCCCTTCAGCAGTTCCCGAAGGACTCTGTGGGGAGGAGGCGAGTTCAGGCGTGTGTGAGCGCAGCAGTAGCGGGAGCAGGCGCGGCTCCGCTAAGGGGACTGCTGCCCTGGCTCCCTTCGGAGGCTGGAGCACCATGGGCTACGACACTGCTTCGCAGCCTTCCATCATGAGTGCGCGGCCTTCTTCCCTTGTCTACATTTGCATCATCCATACAAAACACTGATCGGTTTTTCTTTAAATATTCAGAGTGGACTGTAGAATCTTCGCTCATGGTAACGTGTTAGAACATGTTATACGTTTTTCTGAATACAGACTAAAATACATAGCTACTAAAATTAAAAAAAAAATGCCCGTGAGCATGCTACCTAAAGCAACTCACAGGACGCCTGTGGAACGCACAGTGTAATACACTAAAAAGCTTAAAAAGCTGGCAAATATTCAACGAGAGGGATGCATGCTACTCCACTCTCCGGGTCTCCACTCCAATCCTGATGACAGAAGGTGGTGTTGGGCAGAGATTTGGGGCCCCTCTCTCCACTTTCTCTCTCACACCATCCCAAGCAACAGAGAAAAGACCTTTCTAAGACTTATAGGAGTTCGAGTCAAGTGCTTTCTTATTGTGCCCTTGGCGTTCAGGACGCAGGGCTTCTTGCTCCCACGTTGGAGTGGGCTTGCGCGAGGATGCCTGCAGTTGCCTGGCCATTCCCGGCTCATTTCTGGAGGTGTAGTAGCAAACCCTGTTTCTGCTTGAGATCTAAGCCTCACTCTACCCAGCTTTGCTAGGGAACCCCATGATTTGGATGATAACATACATCTCAATCGCCTTCTGTCTCCTCTTTCTCACTCGTTCAAATTCCAACACAGCATGTAGTTACAAAAACAAGTGAAAGAATGAGAGAAGAAACTGTTGATGGAAGAAGATGCATGCAGCTATCGTACAGCAAAATACTGTGTGTATATAAACATCTAATGATCGCTTGTTATGAAAAAGTGTTTTTTAAAAAATTAATGAAACTTGATACTCAAATACTGTTGAGTTCTCCTTCCCCAACTTGGGGTTAGAGTCATGTAGCAGTCTAGTCTTTTTGGCTGAGTCTGTGCACACTGGAGCAGGGGCACCCTCCTTTGTTCCCTAGTCTCTGAGAAGCAATGAGATATACTAGAAAGAATATTGGCCTTGGGGTCGGGCCTGGGGACAGATTCTGGATGTTTGAAGTTGGGCAAATTACCTAGGCTCCCTGAATCTCAGGCTTTACGTGTGTAAAATGGCAACAATAACCCTCCTAGGGTTGTTGTGAGGATTAAAGGAAATGAGTGTGAGTCAGTGAGACTGCCATTCAGAAAGAAATTCACATCCATGTCTAGGTATCCACTGGGCATGTCCATATCTAGATAGCTTTTAAAGAGGTTTGACATCTTTCCCCTGCATGGAAGTGGAGCCTGAGCGGTCGTGCTTATATTCAGAGGCCTTTTTCAGCACAGATAAAATGCCAAAACAATTAAGATTTTGATAGGATGTGTACCTTTGTGCAAACAAGCTTACATAACAAAATGGTGCAGATAAACGCAGATGACAATGGACTTTATACAAATAAATGAAATTATGTTTCTCTAGTATAAAAATAGATCAAATGGTAAGAGCACAAAAATAGGTGAAATGGTAACATAAACTGACTTGTGTAATCAGAGGGTCAACTCTTGACATTTTTCTCCCTAGGCCTTTTCTAATAGTTTTGTTGCTAAGGCTACAGTGTTTTTGCCAGATTGGAACAGCATTGTCCACTCTAATGAAGCTTAAGTAGCTTTCCCAACTAGATTTTTTTTAATAAGCATCAGTTAATACTGCTGGCTTTCAAAGCCATGTTCGTGATGAATGGAAAGATCTTTAAAGATCTGTTCTTAGAAAATGTAGCTCATAAAATTTGGAATTTAGCAGCATTTCTATTCCATAGTTATTCCAACACAAATTTTTATCACGGTTACACTGAACAAAATAACTTAAAATCTAATTTCACATATTTAATTAAAAAAAGAATAAGAAATTATTATTTACAACTTTAGCCAAAAATTAATTCCCTAAAGAGTAACTGAGGTTACTTAACGAACAATTCTTTTGACTAGTGGGTCAAGTGTCTCACAACTGCTCACAAATGCACACTTGATTTATTCTTTGCACAATATGGATAAGTTACAGGAAGTCATCTGAGGAAAGTGTAAATATAAATGCACCCAAAGAAACGTAGAGTTTTGTAAAGCGGAGTAAATGAAAACCAGTTTGCTCTGGACACTCAATTGCTAAGAGGATGTCAAAGGTAAGAGCCATTAGGAAACGGGTGAAGAAACACTCCTTTTGATGTGCTTGCTGAGGAGCCAGATGAGCTTCCTTGGTCATGGACAGAAGAGACCATCTAAACTCTAAAAAATGTAGTGCAGTTTGCATGCCCGCTGATTCCGCAATTCTACTTGTGCACTAAAGCATGAGAATTAAATTAAATAATTCATGTGAAGTGCTTAGCCAATTACAGATGCTGTATTTCCTTCCTTGGATGTCTATATTTTTGTAGCCAGAAATCCCACTGTTGATTTCCAATAAGAAAAGCTGAATATTACAGCCTTTAAAGTCAAAAGTTCACCTTAATTTGAATATTGCAGCATTAGTGACATCTGGTGGAAAATGAGTTACAATGCGGCATTATAGCTATTCTGATCTTTCCTGTCTAATAATAATATTATCACTTTCATCACATTTTCACATACCCCTTTCCCCAACTCCATGGGAGGAGTATACTTCCCTGCCCCACTGAAGTTTGGCTCAGCCACAAGACTTGGCCAAAATCAGTGGAATGTGGGCAAAAATGTCAGTGTCAAAGTTTGGAAACTAAGCTTTAAAAGTCCTGGCTAGCTATTGCCCCTTCAATGGTAGAATGAAACATGTGACCTGCAGATTTGCATGAGAATAAAACAAGCACCCCAGATAATCCACAGACTTACAGGAAAAAAAAAAAAGTGCTTACGGTTATTCTATGGTTGTTTGCTATGAAGCAAAAGCCAACTAAAACATGAGATCGTTATACCTCTGTGTAAAATTCCCATCAAGGCTTGACTTCTCTGTCCAATTGATGACACCGGGAGAAGAGTCCTGAAGACCGGGTGTGGTTCAGTCCCATCTGGGGCTCTGTTTCAGACCTCGACAGGCCCAATCGGAACATGTTGTTTTCATTCCTGTACCTACGGTAAGCAAAACCGAGTCAGAGTCCAGGCCAGGCCTATCAGAGGCCTATCAGACTCTCTTGGAATCTTGGCTTCTCTGTTTAACATGGTATGGAAGTCACGCACGTTTTGTTTTTGTTTTTTGTTTTCCTTCCAAATCTTTATTTAAATTCTACTTCATTAACATATACTGTAATATTAGTTTCAGGAGAATTTAGTGATTCATCACTTACACGTAACACCCAGTACTCATCGGTCATTCACAATTCTTGAACCTGTTGGTTTAAATAGCTCCCTCCTAAGGTGAGCTTCAGGTATAGGAAAGAAGGCAGGACAAGTTTAGTTGGAGCCATAGGCCAAAGCTTTTCCAATTGAGCTTTACCAACAAAGCTCATAGCTTTGTATTTGTATTTCTTAAATGATACATAATCTATAAGGGGGGGAAATTAGCAATGTTAGAAATCACAAATTAAAAGTGATAATATTAGGGTCATTTAATTTGGTAAATAAAAACACAAATGACAGAAATTTAAGTATTACCAATGATATATTAAGAAAGTTGCTACCAGTGAGCTTTTGTGGGGGAAGAACCACATTATTTCCGGCCATTTAGCAGAGGCATTGTGTTTCCTAAAGCAGTTACTGCTTTCTGAAAAGAATTTCAAACTTTTGTCCCAAAAGTAGTTCCAGAATTTTCAACTCTCTCCATATTTTTACTGAACTTCCATTTCTGCTTTCTTTCTCAACGTAATGTGTCATGTTATGAAGGTTATGTACAGCCAAGAATTCAAATGTTTTAATCTTACTAGTGACCACTTTGTACTATATCTCATGTTGGAAAACCAGACTGTTGACCATACCTAATTCAAAATCATTTCCATTTCTGCATAACTACTTTTCTTATTCAGGCAAGAGTTGTGGGTGGACCTCTAAAATTAGATAGCTTCAACTCTCAAGGGAATGGGCTTTCGCAACAGCATTCACTACACCCATCATCAAATACGGGGACCTACACTTGTCTTGTAGTGAGAGAATTGCCCTTTATTCTTAACAAGCAGGCAACAGGATCAAACAGATCATTCAGGTGAAATAACAAAGACAAATACATATGTGATAAATCCGTGTAGTTACTTCTTGGAAGCTTGCCATGTATTTTCCTCTCCTTCATATCTCAAACTTCAGAAAGGCCAGGACCCTGTTTCATTCATCCCAATACTTGGCACGTTAACAGGTGTTCACTTTGTAATTTTTGAAGGAATGGATACAGGCTATGTGTTTTTACTTTATAGTGAAGATTAACGAGTTAATACATATAAAGAGCTTAGAACAGTGTCTGATACTAAGCACTTAATTATTACAAAATGAGATAAGATTTAGAACAGAGATTAGAAGAGACTTTTTAGAAGTCTGCCTTCAACTGACCTTGGCAAAATAAGGAAGACTAGGCTAGCAATAAGGCTAGGAGTATAGAAAAGTTCTACAGCCCAACATATGCTAAAATGAATTAATTCCAAATGACATGTATTATTTTATACAAAGAATGATGCTTATTTTAAGTCCACAGTTATAAGATTAAAGGGGTATAATCAAAGCTTGTCCATTAAATTGAAAGCACCTCCAGACTGACTCAAGTTTGTATTCTTAGGCCCTGGTAGGTACAAGATATTATTTGCTATACTGAATCCATCCTGCTATTTAACTGTGTTAATACCACACCAATATAAAAATATGTTAAGACAAATTAAAATATACATACTTAACTTTATTACATCATTTAAAGCTTGATTTTATAAAACATAAAAAAAATGTTTAAGTGTTCTGTATCACAGGAATTTAAACAGTGGCAATATACATAGCTTTGTAAGTTCAAGTTATATATATAAATTAAAATCAAATAATTGGAAATGCTTTTAATACGGAAAATATACAAATAAAATAAATGGCAAAAGGACCTAACAGGAGCAGTATTTCATTACTTACAGATTATCATTAGATAATTTCAGGATCTAAACAAAGACTCTGAATTTTCGGACTTCTTTTGCTGTATTTTATATTTAAATATCTCCCTACCTATATTCCGAATCAAGGTACTTGACCAAAAGGTTTAAGAAGGCATTTAGCTTTATGGCAAAAGCTTTCCATCTACAGTTACCACCTTTAAAGGAATTGACATTAACAATGCTGATGTAATCTGCTAGTTCCCTTCTGAACAATGTGCAATAATTTATACCAACCCTGTATAAAGTCATACGGGTACCAAAAAATGGAACAATTATGCACAGTTCAATAGAAGTATAATGTTAAGTTTTCCCCATCTAAAAATTAACCAGTGAAACAAAATGTATCAACTATAGTTGACTTGGTTTCAGGAAAACCACATCTGAGAGTTATAAGTACATCACTGTCCTTATCTTATCCTCAGTCATTGACAGGAATTTTGTAGGCCACCATGCTATTGACTTTGTGGATTGTAGTAGTAAATGAACGAAGGGACGGACTTCCTTAGATTTGGTAATAAACTGTGGTCCCGACTCTTCCCATTTTTCAGGTACAACCAAATCTTTGTCTGTATGTATCAGTAGATCAAATGAACCTAAATTGGGGATAAGATCATTAAAGTACAATTATTTTTTTCTAAAGTACAACCACCCTTCCTGTGTCTTTCACATTTGAACCATCTATAGTGTCAGAAAAGCTAGTTTACCTTGATCTCTAATCAATTATATTAACTAATTGCTTTTCCTCAATGGAAATTTTAGTACAGAAAATACTGTACTCCTTTTACTTTATGAAAAACTCAAGTTTTTTTTTTTAAAGAGAAAACCACTAAAAATATTTGCAGAAAGTATACAATTAATCATGAGACAGCATGAATCTAAGCCATAGAAAAGATAATACCTTGGTTCTGTGACAGCTGTATCCCAGTGCCCAGAACAGCATCTGGCATGTAGTAGGTATTTAGGATATATCTGATGAATGAAGGAGTAACTAAGAAAACAAAGACACAATTATAGCTATAAATCTTAATTATATACATAGAAATGTGTAGAAAATAAAAATAATGACAGAAATTACATCAAAATATTCAAGAGTGAGTACTGTAGAATACTTTCATTCCTTTCCTTTTCAGCACTTGTAAATAAAATGCAAATAGCATTACTTTAGCTTTATCACAGTTTTCTCATTCATATAACATGACATTTATAATTAAGAAAAAACTTAATGAGCGCATTAATTCTTAAAGTAGTAGCTTAGTCTTTTCCACAACAAATTTAAGCCAGTGTGAAGTTGTATAATACTTACAAGAAACTTCCAATAGTGGCAGAAATGTCACCGTAGCTGTGATCTGTCTGATCACTGAACGGATTTCATCTTGGATAGCTTTCTGAGACTTTTCTCTGGGTGCACTATCAAAGAAACCAATTAATTCATTTTAAGTTTTAACAAGTTATTTGAAACACAGGTAAGATTATTTATCTGATTAAATGCTTCCAAAATCAAATAAGTAATGCATTCAAAAGGAGGTTTTTTTTAAATGAAAATAAATATATGTCCTTAAGAAACTTAGTAGGCACAATATGTATCTCTATTATTTCATTTATCCTTCCAATCATTTTTTAGGGTTGTTCTTAGTATCAGGTCATTAAATAACAGATGACTAGAAAACCTGCCAAGTACTTCAAGTCAGGAAAGCTTCAGCATGTCTTAAAATAAAGATAACAAGCAGTATCTAAAATATTGAATCGGTATAATCATTTTGGCATTTTTAGTAATGCCTAAATGTCTAATTTCCTATTGCCTCAAATAAGATGTTACTCGTGTATGGCGTTAATAATTAAACATTTTCTAAAACAGACCAAAGGCTTCAGGAGCAAACTCCATCATTTCATTATGAGAGATAGTTCAGAGTTTACAGGTAAGCATGCCTAGGACAATGCTAGAAATTAGCATATAATGATGGGCATCTCCCATCCGGATAATCTAAAAACTTCAGTTTAATGTCTAAGGAGGGGCGCCTGGGTGGCTCAGTTAGTTAAGCGACTGCCTTTGGCTCAGGTCATGATTCCCGGGTCCTGGGATTGAGCCCCACATCGGGCTCCCTGCTTGGCGGGAAGCCTGCTTCTCCCTCTCCCACTCCCCGTTTATGTTCCCTCTCTCGCATGCTCTATTAAATAAATAAATAAAATCCTAAAAAAAAAAAAAAAAGGGAATGTCTAAGAAGTCTGTAGCATTAAATGAAATACAGTAGAGCTGCACAGTAAGCTGGGAGAAAGTCTAGGATAATACTTCATGGTTAAAAGTACCTTTCTACAATTCATGAAATGGCCCACCTAGGACGGACACCATGGTAGCTTTACATATAGCATCATAAACACTAAAGTTTGAAATTTATGGATTTAGCCTAAGCGCAATTATGTTAAAAGTCCGTGATAGGCAAAATTCTTTCGTGAGCACAATTTGTGAGCCCAATCCTTCTCCACAGGAGATTAAAGATCACATCTAACATACTTAGAAACAAACTACTTTATGTGAAACTAGTTCAATATAAGTAGAACTCATCTAGTAAAAGAAAACAGTTTTGGAAAAAGATCTGTAAAAATGGAAGCAATTTACTTCATACTTACCTGTCATCTTTTGCAGTCTTGTCACACTCGATATCAAATTGCCACCTTTCAAGGACCTCACCACTTTCAATATTTGAGATGACAACCACCAGTTTCTGAACTGAACACTTGTATAACCAATCTGCAATACATAACAAGGAATCTTTTTTGTTTCACTGCATTACAAAACAACTCTCTTCCCAGGTCTCACTTTCTATCCTCAGCAAATTCCTACCGCTAGTATTTCGGAACTCTGCCAACCTGTACAGAAAACCTGCCCCACAATAACCTAGCTCCTGTTTTCAAATTCTCAGTATTTGTACCAGATATAGTACTGAGTGCTGAAGACAGAGTAGAAAACATGAAGTACACCCTAATCCAAGTAAGATGCAGGAGATGGCCATTAATCTAATCACTGCACCGATAAATATAAGATTATAATTGTGATAAACGCTATGAAGGTGCAGTATGTGACGCAATGAGAGCATAATAGAGGAAAACTGGACTCACTCAGGGAGTTCTCACTTGACTTCAGTTCTACAAATAAATTATCATTAAATATGCAAAATGATACAGAAAAGGGTACAGGTCTTAAATATTGAAAAGGGAAGAGCATCTGACCAGAGGATTGAAAGAAGGGTAATACAACTGCAGTAAAGAAAGGGGAGAATGAACAAGGTCAGTTTGTGTACGATACACAGGGGTCAGACCATGCAAGGCCATATGGGCCAAATTAAAGAAGTTACACTTCAAGAACCAGGGAAGTCATTACTGTATTTGAAGTATGGTATGATGTAATTAAATTTGTATTTCAGAACTATCCTTCTGGCTGTGATGTGGAAAGTAGAGTAGAGGTAAAGAGGGGATCTAGAGACACCAATTAATTAGCAATTCAAGCAAGAGGTAATGAAGGCTTAGAGAAGGATAAGCTGGTAGAGATGGATCAGTAGATAGATTCAAGAGATTTCATGGTTCAAACTGTTAGGATTTATTGACTACTTATGAGTAAGCAAGAAGAAAGACTGAGATAGCTCCCAACTTCCTAGTTTATATCACTAGTTGGATGGCTGATCCATTCACTGAGAAAAAGAATGCAAATGGGAGATGATGCTTAAGTTTTAAGATTTTATTTTTAAGTAATCTCCACACCCAACATGGGGCTGCAACTTCATATCTCGAGATCAAGAGTTGCATGCTCCATTGACTGAGCCAGCCAGGAGCGCCTTAAGTTTAGTTTTCAGGTATCACTGCGATAGCCAGATGAAGATATCAACGGAGCCACGAAATATATGAGCACAATTAGGAGAATTGGGTTGGATGTACAGTTGTGAGTCAACTACACCAAGGTTGTTAGTGAAGCTATGTACATGTCAGAGATCATCCTAGAGAGAGATTATAGTGAGAAGAGGGCCTCAGGACAAGCCCTGAATTAATCTTGGAAATTGGGATAGTATACTCAGGAATCTGTAGTGGTTTTTTTTCTTTTTTTAAGAGACAAAACAATTTTGTAATATTTAGGGCTTGTGGGCCACCTAGGTCTCTGTTGCATAGTCTTTAAAAAACAGCCCTTTAAAAATCTGAAAACAGGGCACCTGGGTGGCTCAGTTGGTTAAGCGACTGCCTTCGGCTCAGGTCATGATCCTGGAGTCCCGGGATCGAGTCCCGCATCGGGCTCCCTGCTCAGCAGGGAGTCTGCTTCTCCCTCTGACCCTCCCCCCTCTCATGCTCTATCTCATTCTCTCTCTCAAATAAATAAAATCTTAAAAGAAAAAAAAAAATCTGAAAACATTCTTAGTTTGCAGGCAGTACAAAAATAGCCACTTGCTAGACACGGGCTGTCGTATGTATCAACTTTTTCTTGACATATATCGATTTTTCTCAATTTAGCTCTGAAAAGGAAGAAATTGGGTAGTAACTTAAGGATTTGGGGTGGGTGGAAATTTTTTTCTTTTAAAACTGAAGAGAGATCAAAACAAAGAAATCAAAAATACCAGAGAAGAACTAGGATAAAATCCTTAAGGCTAGAGGAATGGGGATTCAGATTGAACAATTTGCCTCTAAGAAGAGCAATTCCTCCATTTTAACTAAAATAAAAGGGAGAAATTAAATAG